CCCCAGGTACGGCTTCGTGGAGTTCGAGGACTCCCGCGACGCCGACGACGCCGTTTACGAGCTGAACAGCAAGGAACTGTGCGGCGAGCGCGTGATCGTAGAGCACGCCCGGGGCCCGCGCCGCGACCGCGACGGCTACAGCTACGGAAGCCGCAGTGAGTTCTACCCCCGCGCGCTCCGCGTCCTGGGTACCGGGAGCGGGCGGCGGGTGCAGTCGCGGGGGTGGGGTGGGGGGCGGGTGCAGGGTGGGACCTCCCCAACCCGGGCAGGCGCGGAGGCAGGGGTTCGTTGGCCCTGGGTCTTCCCGGGGCCCCTCTTCCCTCCACGCATGCTCGGGTAGCCATGGGACACCGGAGCGCGGGGATTGGGTCGGGTGGCTAAGTTTGGAAGGGGTGGCTTCAGTTGGCCCTCGTTGGCACTGACGTGGGTTCTGCCCGCATTGAAAGCGAGGGTTGCTCGTATTTGTAGTTATCCCCCTTGCTTATCTGTCAGTGCTTTAGCTAGCGTTGAGGAAGTTTTCGAGGAAAGCTGGGGTGGAGGTGGGGCAGGGGGCGGGGAGAGGGGCGGGGCCTGAAGCATAAGTCTTAGGAGGTGGGAGACTTGGCGAGGGCCAAAGAAAATGCCATTTTAAACTAATGTGGTAGAGCACCACAAAGTAAATGTAAATAAGCTTTATGCTGTATTTGAATTAGTTGGGGCATGTTACTGGGAGGGGGTTGGGGGGATTTTGGTTATGTGAAATGTTTATTGTTGAAATTGTTGCATGTTGAATTCAAACTTTTTAACAAGTCCTTGATGTTTCAATTTAAAAGTGACCAATGGGGCTGAGGCTGTGTCCACTGAGGCTAAGATGACTGCCTTTCCTGATTGGCCTTGGCTTTTCCATACATTGTGTGACCCTTGCCCTATGACCCTTTGGCTGACCTTACCGGAAGCCATGACGACAGCAGCCTTTTGCCATTAGACGCAGGGTGATGGTGAGGATTCCAAGGGTTAGACAAAACTGGTTAATCTGAACTAGGTGACTGTTACCTTGCGTGTTTTGTGGCCAAACCACCACCAAAAACCTCACACTGTGATGTAAGTACTTAGTGTAACTAGTAAACATTTTTGTAAAATGTAGAAATGCATGTAATCAGTTAAGTTTTATATTTTACAATGTTCTGTAAAATAAAACTTAGCGAGGTAAATTGAATAAAGGAGCAGTCACTCTCTAACAGATTGTAGGAGAGGGTTAGTTGGATTTAGTCTATTTGACTTGCCCTTAATTTAATTTGTGGCAAATCACAAATGTATCGAGGGTTTAGCAGTATAATAGCAAAGTCCTACTCCAGTAATAAACGTTGCTATGTTTGTACTAACTTTCAAAAACATGTGTACCTGTCATTGCAATGCATCTAATTATTCCCTCCGTGTGATAAAGGTGGTGGAGGTGGATACAGCAGTCGGAGAACTTCTGGCAGAGACAAATATGGACCACCTGTTCGTACAGAATACAGGCTTATTGTAGAAAATCTTTCTAGTCGCTGCAGTTGGCAGGACTTAAAGGTATGGCCTGGGTTTAAATGACAGTGGGCAGTCATTTCCTTAAGAGTTAGTGCTACATAGATGTGATTTAGATTCCTGGGGCTTATCAGTCTTACTGTTTTAGGATTTCATGCGGCAAGCAGGAGAGGTGACTTATGCAGATGCCCACAAAGAACGCACAAATGAGGGTGTAATTGAATTTAGATCCTACTCCGACATGAAGCGTGCTTTGGATAAACTGGATGGCACAGAAATAAATGGCAGAAATATTAGGCTTATTGAAGATAAGCCACGAACAAGCCATAGGCGCTCTTACTCTGGAAGTAGATCCAGGTAACATGAGATGCTGGGGCGGCTTGTAGTTTTCCTTGTTGCTTAATTGAACTTGCAGCTTTTCTTGGTTGTAGTAAGCAGATACTTCAGCCACAGCTGAGTAGTACAAATGCATTCTTAAAGAGATTAAAATGTCACTGTCTCTTGTGTGTAGATCACGGTCTAGAAGACGGTCACGGAGTAGGAGTCGCAGGAGTAGCCGCAGTAGATCTCGAAGTATCTCAAAAAGTCGCTCCCGGTAAATAATGTGGTGTTGGGTCTCTTAATTTTACCTCTTGGTGGAGTACATGTGTTTTCTGACAAGATACTGAAAGAAATCTGGCTTTTCTTACACAGATCTAGGTCGCGGAGCAAAGGTCGATCCCGGTCCCGCTCAAAAGGCAGGAAATCCAGATCAAAGAGCAAATCTAAGCCCAAGTCTGATCGGGGTTCCCATTCACACTCAAGAAGCAGATCTAAGGATGAGTATGGGAAGTCCCGAAGTAGGTCACGTTCTCGGTCCCCCAAAGAAAATGGAAAAGGCGATATAAAGTCAAAATCCAGATCCCGAAGCCAGTCTCGATCCCATTCACCTCAGCCTGCTCCACCTTCAAAGGCTCGTTCCATGTCCCCTCCGCCAAAAAGAGCTTCCAGGTCCCGTTCTAGATCTCGTTCAAGGTCCAGATCAAGTTCCAGAGATTAACCCTGAACTCTATGTTCTTTGCACACTATAACGGAACACTTTCCTACTTGCTTAGGCAGTTACTCTTCCGAGTTTGTACTTGGCCTCTTCTTCAAGAGGATGTCCTGAAAGGGGAACACAGGAATTTAATTTGTGGCCAAATTTAATGAGAAACAGATGAGGTTCTAAAATGGTGGTATGACGCCCTCTCCCTTCTTTGTAGAATTAAGATAATTTTGATTTTATAGCCTTTGAGCCTAAAATAACTTTTGTAAAGATTAAGCTCATTTAGATTTTTTTTTTTTTTTAATATTGCAGCAGAATCTGCTGCAGGGTTCTGTTTTGTTTGCTTATTTTTAAATTAACTGTTTTGGATAGAAGCTTTGGATACTGCAGGCTTTAGAGGGAGAACCCAATTTTTCAATTATGTTGGCTTTTTATGAAGCTCGTTAAATAAAAGTTTGCTACCAAGATGATTGCCTTATTGAATAGGTCACGATTAGGGCCCTGTAAGTGTTGATACCTGCCATTTCTGGAGAGAGTGTAAATCCCACTGAAGTGTAAAACAAGGCAAGCCTCAGACCAGCAATAAATTAATCAGTTTGGATAACCTTATTTTGTGCTGTTAATCAAATCTACCAAAGTTTTTTTTATCTGCCCCGTTGATGAGTTAAAAGTAAAAGGGACTTTGTAGTTAGTGTCACAAGATTTTGTCTAATTAATAGGTTTTTAAATAAATGAAACTAAAGGATTAGAATTTGAACTCAAGAAGTAGGTCCTAGTACTTGGGATCTTGTTATCCTGTGTTCTGGAAGTGGTCATCGTGATTAGTGTTAGTGTATATGGTTTGGTGGTCTTTAATGTTTGGAAAACAGAAGTAGCCTTTCTTTGATTAGAAATTTAGTTATCTTATTCAAAGTGGAAAAGCGCATATGCTGCATTTCTGCTGAAAAGTGATTATATTTTAACAGGTGCTTAGCAGACTATTTGATATTTGCTGGTTAAAATTCTTTCCAACAATCAGTCCTCACCGTATTGGTGGAGCATTTGTGGTTGGTTTGAAAAAACAGTGACATGGATAAGCTAAAATGCTTTGTATTTTGTAAAGTATAATGAATACTGTGGAAACCAAGTTAAAATGAATAGTGCAAACTTGTAGGAATAACTGGATTCACAGTTTCCATGCATCCAAATGCCCAGTTAAGACTGCAATCCATAAGTGAATTACCTTACAACCCTTTCATTGTTTGGAGATTTTAAAGTCATTTCATCCTAAATACTTAACCTCAGTCTTTAGTCAAGGTGTAGATGAATTGGCTAAGGTTTAATACCTTCCTCAGCTGTTGCTACATAACCTAGCAAAGGTTGGGTTATAATAAAACATAGTGTTGTAGGGATGGTGTGTGGGACTAAATAATCAGAAGACATGGCAATAAAATGAGGCTGAGTGGAAAAAATGGATATTCAAGGACCTAGATAGGTGTTAGTAGCTGGGAATATTTGGCAACAGGGAAAGGAGAATGTTTTCAAGAAATGTCTTTCTGTTATAGAATCTTAGAGATTTAACTTTAGGATATAGTGTCAAATAAAGCTGCTGCTTCAGTCAGTCATCTTTCCTTTGATGCTTTGTTTAGATAAGTTTATAAGAAATGGGTTTATTTTTCCAGTGTACATTTCAGAAGTTAAAATTGTTTCTGGTTGTAGTTTACTATTTTGCCTGTTCAGAGACAGAAGTGATGGCTCTTTAAGAATTGGGTTTGACCAAAGTTCTTTGTTTTCAGGGAAAAATATAATAAAAGCTTTCTGAGCCACAGCCTTCTAAAGAGGAAAGGCTATCAGTAAAATTTGACTCTTCTGACTGCACGCATCTTCAGCTGGGCTTGCCGTCTGTTAATGTAGTACATGATGGAGGCATTTGACTATTTCTAGCTGCCCCAATAAGTAATATAACGTATAGGTAAATGCCAACGCCTGTATAATTTTCCTAGTGGGGACAAAGGCTGTTTTATTAAAACTCTAGGCCTATTTCATATCTGTAGACCCTAGTTATTAAATGCACTAAACAAACCACTGCATTTCAAGCGTTGGCCTTAGCAGAATTGACTGACTTAAAATGTTTAGTTCCTTACTGACTAGTGAATTCAGTTCCCTGCCAACTAATGCGCAGAATCTAAGAGTCCCATCTTGCACACATTGGTTGATGCCCTGGGTGGAGTATCAGCAGCACCAACTGATAAAAAAGAGCACAAGAGAAGTGGGGAACATCTTGAGTCCAGTTGGACGTGATAGCGTTTCTTGATATGCCACAGTGCCTTTATGGCCAGTTTGAGTCCTGCCTACTTCAGTCTTTATGTTCCCACTCCTCCTGTGTTGACATTGCTTTCATCTTGGATATTCTTTTTTTCTACTTTGTTAACCTATTTTATGCATACTCAATAAAATGCTTACCAAGGGAAAGACTTGTTCTGAATTTATTGTGTTGTCCCTTGGCACAAAGTACTTGGCCAGTAGTTTTTTTGAATTGTAGTTAGCATTGGCTAGCCATTGATGTATGTTCTTGTTTTAGCTCTAGAAAGCAGGGTTTGGGGACCGACAGTAGATGGTTTGTTCTGTGTTCCTAATAACTTGCTTCATTTTCATGTGTTTACTCTTGTCCATTTTTTCTTGTGGTTGATATTTTTCAATACCGTTTCTCAAGTTAGGAAGTTGAAAATACCTTGCAAATCCTTAACCTATGTCCTTAATCCTGGGCACTCTAGGCTTTCCTTCAATACCATTGCGCTCCTATTGCTTAATCTTGTTCTTAAAAGCTTCACCTGTGGTTGATCTGATTTCAGATACATGGTGGGAACCTAGTGTGGAGCTTCATTTTCTTGTTTTTAATAATAATATAGGGCTGTAAGTATAGTTCAGGATGAGCGTTTAATTTTAGTATGTGTAGTGCCCTGCATTCAGTTCTCATTACACAAGCAGCTCTCTCTCACATATACACAGGGACTGATTGTACTGTGGTACTCACTCTTAATCTTAATTAATCTTAGAGTATAAAATAATTTTGTGAGTCCAATTACTAAGATAAGGCACTACTTAAAGTATCTTTTGTTAGGCTGGTCTCTCAGACTATAGCTAAGGATGACTTTGGACTTGTGATCTTCAGGCAGTGTCAATGGCATGTACTATCACACTTGTACATGTGCGTGTCGCTTTTTTCTTGACACAATGCATTTAGGGCTGGCCTCCAACTCAGCAATCCTACCACCTCGGACTCTTTGAGTACTGGGATTGTAGGCATGAGCCACCACACCACATCTGTCTTAAAACAGTTTGTTCACACCTTGAGTAATACATAACTTGATTTTACACAATACGTGGCAATGAGTTATAATGAATATTCTGTTGAATGTACAGCATACATTCCTCAAAATTGAAAATTTTATTTCGTGTAACATGAATTACAACACATTCACAAGGCTACTTCAAGCTTATGTATTTTCAGTCCATGACTGTATCTTGAATAGGAAGTATATTTATAAATTCCTAACCACAGTAAATGTACCAGTTTGCTAAAAGGGTGGCTTAATACAGTTGTCTTCCAGTTCCTAAATAAATAGCTTTTGTAGGTAGACCTGACTCTTAGTAACTCACAGGCTTCTATTGCATTTAGTAAGGTGATTGACACTGGTTTGACCGGAAAGGAATTTCAATTCCAAAATAAAATATAAACAAAGGTAATGCAGCAAAATCCCCCTATGATTCCTTGGAGAAAGCAGGACATGCTAGTATTTTTGGTTTTTTGAGACAGGGTTTCTCTGTAGCTTTGTGCCTTTCCTGGAGCTCACTTGGTAGCCCAGGCTGGCCTTGAACTCAGAGATCCGCCTGGCTCTGCCTCCCAAGTGCTGGGATTAAAGGCGTGCACCACCAACGCCCGGCAATGCTAGTGTTATACTCCTTTGGAGATGCTTCTTGACAGCCTGAGTAATAGATCATACATAGAGTAATATCCCAGGGCACTGATTACAGTGCACTAGTCCTCAGCCAACAAAAACCCCAACCATTTTTAGGTCACTATATATAATGACCATTAGGCCATTATTTGGGAAATGACAATCTGCAAGAGGAAATTGGTAAATATACCAAATCCATTTTGTTCATTCATGAATGGCCTTTGTTTACTAAATATGTGTTGAATCCATGTTTTAAGACAGTGCTCTGACCTAGGTGGTCTCAAACTCACAACAGTCTTGCCTCGGCCTGAGAGCTAGGATTATAGGCATGTGCCATGACACTTGATGATTGCTGTTACTTTTATAGTGAATTTAAAATAGTGGGATGAGCTACCACCCACTTAAGCTTTAACAGTATATACCTGTGCACTTCCAATTTTGAAGGTAACCCTAGGCATTTAATAATGGTAATAATATAGTACATAATTCTAGAGGGCATCTAAAATGTGGCAAAAGCCTGTAATCCAACACAAGATGATTTTTGAGATCACAGTGAACCTGGGCTAAATAGGTAAGATTGTCCCAAAAAGGATGGGTTTCTAAATCCATTTTCCCATTGCTCCACCTTGATTGAAGAAGCTGGGTCACTGTATATTTTCCTAATCTTGGTTTTGCTCTAGTTAAGTATATTCTGTGCCTTGCATTTGCTGTAAATGGATAGGTTTTAGATTGTTACTTTTCACAGATGTTTACCTAAACCACCAACTGGGGACTTGTTTGAAATGCAGCTTCTCAGGTCCCCCACCCCACCCTCAGACACACTGACCCAGAAATAACTGGGTGGAATCCAGCCTTACATGTCCCAATAAGCTCTCAAGTGGTTCTAATGTGGAATTTTGAAAAGGGTGTGGGTTTAGACTGCCTGTACCAGGCCCAACAGAGCAGAGAGAAACCATTCATGCTGAAGTTTGAAGTGATGCAGAAAGCAAAGTTGTTTAGTAGCCTTCCAAGAAATGAGAAAGTCCTCACTTAGGCCCATCCTACCTGGCCTGAAAAGGAAGACCTTCTGCTTTGGCCTTTATAAGAAAAGGAACACTGAAATGAAGGACCCCGCCTTCTTCTGTTCCTTCAACCGTCCTCTGCCTGTGAAGCCATTCTGCTCAGTTCATCAGAGCACTTGATTTCTAAGGTAGATGGTGCCTGATTCTAGAGGCAGAAAAGACAATTTTATCTTTAGATTTACTAATTATTTGTAGTTTCGTGGTAGTTGTGACTACACTCAGTTCTGAGTTCCCCTAACAGAACGGTTACCTTAATACAATGTTGTGGGCCTGGGTTGTATTTAAGTTAGCTGTGGGTTTGATACGTTGCACTCCAAAACACACCACTGCCATCACAGATGAGCTCCACATGTTCAGTCACTTCCTCATCAAGTTCCACTGGTCCTGCCACCCAGAGCCTGCTCTGGAGCTGAGTGTATGGCACCTGCCTATAATTTCAGTACAGTTGAGTCACAGCTGGGCCAGGAGTGTTAACAGCTGTAGTGTTAAAGCACATACAAGTGGCAGTGCCTGCCACTGCAAAAAGCTGGAGAAAATGGATCCACACCCAGGTTTTCAGGAAAGTGCTTATGTAGCTAGTAACAATCTGCATTCCAAAGCTCTGGACTCCTGAGAACTCGGTGCTTTGTGGCCTTCTGTAGTAAGGAGCAAAGTTGCTGGGACTTTGTGCGTTCTAGGCAGGTATTCCACCACAGCTATATTTCTAACTCATAATGGCATTTTTTCTTACTACTGTTACATATGTGGATGTTAAAAGACTGCATTCAGAAGCCCTCTCCTGCCATGTGGGTCCTGGAAATCAAACTCAAGTGACCAGAATTGGCAGCAAGTGCTTTTAGCAACTGGGCCTCCCGGCCACCTCAGTAGTATTTTGATTAGGAATTAGAGGATTCTACTCCTTCAGCAGTACACATCATTTCTTCCTTCTCCTCCACCATAAGTTCCCATATGATGACTACTGTACTTCAACTCTAAAAGCATGAAGAGCAAGCAAGCTGTCAGTATAGTTGAATGTTGGGACCTGTAGGTTCAAGAGGTAATAGAGCATCTGTAGTCTTAGGGTGGACTCACAAGCCAAAAAGTGAGCTTCCTTCCTGTATGAAAGCTTACAGGAGGACATTGTTTGGGATTTAGCTCCAGCAGTAGACCCTAAAAGAACAGACCAAAATGGGGGTGAAAGAGGTGGTTCAACAGGTAAAAGCGCCTTCCAACAAGCCTGACAGCCTGAGTCCAGTCCTTGGGACCCACATGGTCAAAGAACTGCAAGTTGCCCTCTAGACATGTAAACATGTTGCATGCACACACAAAACAGAATGTGTAAACACCACAATAGACCAACATGGAGCTATTTCTGGTAAAAGTTCTGTTAACAACCCAAATTAAGCTATTTAGGTGACTTTCCAAGAAATCAAGGGAAAGCAAAATTTCAAAAACCAGTCTCAGCAGGATAGGGAGGTCCCCTCTGCCCTGATAATTACAAAGAAAGCAGTGTGCAGGCTAGAGAAAGATGACTCAGTGATTAAGAGCACTGGTTGCCCTTTGAGAGGACCCGGGTTCAAATCCCAGTGCCACATGGTAACTCCAATCCCAGGGGATCCAGGCACACAAGAGGAACACAGATGTAACATGCAGGCAGAACATGCTTATAAAGCAGTCTGAAGGTAACCTGTTAACAGTATGGTACCTTGTTATGTTGCCCAGGCAAGCCCAGAACTGGGCTCAAGAAATCTTGCCTCGGTCACCAGAACTACTACATGAATGTGCCTTTGTTCTTCAAATTGTACTGGTATCTCAAATCAGTGTGGATACTGCTCTTCCCTACTTAACAAGTCTGCTGATGGTTAAATGGGCAGGTTGTAACCATGACTCTGGTGTTTTGTCTCTTTGGAGTAGTACATTTAATTGTACAAGTGAATCACTTGCCCAGAACAGATTTTGCATTGCCTTTCTAGCTTCAGTATGAGTGCCAAGAGGGTAGGCCCAGGGAGATGGCTCACCAGGAAAAGCTTTGCCACACAAGCTTACCATCAGGAGTTTGATCCTTGCAACCCATGGTGGAAGAAAAGAACTGACTCCCAAAAGGTGTCCTCTTGACCTCTGTTCATGTGCCTTGGCACACATATACCTGCACTCACACATCATACAATACTTTTTAAAGGGTGGGATGAACTTACAGAGTCCCAGTGCATGTGGTATGAGCTTAGGGATTCGATCCTCCTCATGTGACTTGTCTCCACTAAGCACTGAGCATCCAAACAAGGGAAAACACTTCCTGAGCCGTGAGGTAGTTGCCAAAGGCCTGATTCTTGGTCTCTAATAAAGACCAAATTTGGCTATCTGCCTTAAGAGTCATAATAGTGACTAAATTGGGCCCATTATACCTGTGATCCCAACTACTCGGGAGGCTGACAAAGGATTATACGAGACTGTCTCAATATGTTTTGTTTTTTTATAAAAGAAGGGGTTTGGTTTTTTGGGTTGGTTGGTTTGCTCTAGCATGCATGAATCCTTAGGTTCTGTACCCAGTAAAGAATTTAGTATGGCAGGCCTGGAAGGAATGGGACCAGTGCCATAAGCCCCTTCAAGGTACTAACGGAAGCTTGACTACTCCGGAAGAGACAGAACTCAGGGCAAGAAATACACATAGCCTGGTCATACAGGGCTAGTTCTATGGAGTTATTGCTGCCACCTGGGAAATCATTGAGTGGGCAGTTAGGTTCTGACATAAGATTACCAGCCTGCAGGGCTGTTTCTGGAAGTCAGTATAAGCTGAGGGGAAATGACTTAGAACAAACCAGAGGTAAAAAATGGAGTCAGTCGGTAATGACTGTTTACTCTGGTGAAGGAAGCAAACGACAATTTCAAAGGGGCCCCCATTCTGAAGTGAGTGAGTAGTCTAGACAGAATTTCATTCCCAAGTCCACAATACCATAAGGGCTTAATGTCCCATCTGCTGTCACTGTGAGTGATAAAACCCAAGACTAGCCACTTGGGTCTTGCCCAACCCCAAAACTACCTTCACAAGAAGAGATGCCAGGGCAGAGCTGCTGCTTCCGTCTGCGCTGCTGCTCCTGACAATTTCCCCTTACAAGTTCAGCGAATTTACTTCCGATCCTGTTTTGCTTGCTTCTTGTAATACTTTTAATTTGTGTATGAGTGTTTTGCTTACATGTCTGTATGTAGTATGTATGTATGTATGTATGTATGTATGTATGCATGTGTACCACAGAAGTTGGCATCAGATCCTCTGAAACTAGAGTTACAGATGATTATGAGCCACATGGCAAACCTAGGTTCTCAGCAATAGTAACAAGTGCTCTAAACCACTGAGCCACCTCTCCAAGACCCCTTGTGATATTTTATGTAGCTTTTTTAGGTGTCTCTTAGAAGGGTTCCAGATTTGCACAATCTGACGTGTCTGTGGAAGCAGAAATGTTTCCACATGTGAAGGGCAAAACCCTGTTATTCTGAGACCCTTGAACTACTGCAACAATGACTTCAACTCCTAATGAAACAGAAGTGTGGGCTGCTTCCAAACAACAGTTTCCTCCACGATTCTCTATGCCAACACCATCTGGGCCCATTCTTGGGGAGGGGTTGGAATGTGAAGGAAGCACTGGACTTGCTCACTCTCTCCTAAAGGCAAGCTGGGACCAGAGGGTAAAGTGAACATAGGAACAGAGCTGCCCACATCACATCAGCTTGGAAGCGGCTCTCCATCCCTGAAGGTGTTGGAATGAACAACAGGTATTAAGACTAATGAGGATGTAAATGGGCAGAAAATAGCAACTGAAGTCTATGTGGGCTGTTTCTGGATCCCACCTGCTCAAATTCTATACATCTGTTTGAATCACTGAAACATGGATTGTAATTAAGAAATCGTGTTCTAATAGGTTTACCCCTTTAATACTTAACCATCTTGGAATCTTAAATAGAGTCTGAATAGAGATAAAAGACAACTGTGATGGTTGTGTGTTGGTGTATATAAAGAGGCTTCTATGATTATGGCAATCTCCTTTTTCTGACTAATCTTGTTCCTATGAACACAAAATGTGATTAAAACCGTTGAGGCCAGACAGAACACATGAAAAGAACATTTAAAATCCGCATAAATTTAAACTGTTGGTCACAGCAAATGGGAGAATTTACCATTTAACTATTTTTCATCTAGTCTGGGAGTCTAAGGATTTGGCTGATAGCTACCACCGAAGAGCCAAATAGACCTGCTTCTTTTTCTGTGAAATAAGGGGGTAAAATTAAAAACCAGTGTGTAAGGGGAAAGTGGGCCACTGAAGAATCAATTAGACATTAATTAGTACCCACTCTGCTAGGAACTGAGAATACTAAAAACTGGTGGGTTTCCTTCATCCTAGAGCGCAGGCCCTCCTAAACTCTTGAATTACTCAAGTCTCTGTGACGTTACAGCCCTGGGGCCGGAATAAGAACCAATGAAAGTAGAGGTCTGGTAGAGACCATGAGTTAGGGAAATGGAGGGCAAAAGAGGAGCCGGTGACTTGTTGGAATCAACACCACAGGAACCATTATCGAACTCTGGAACACAGCATGACAGCCTTCCAGTATTGACTGTGATGTTGCCAGGACACATCAGCCAGTGGCAGTGGGTCACCCAAAGGCTGGCACGTCTGGGGTCCTTCATGCCAGCCAAGCTGAAGGCCAGACCCGCCGGGTGCCAGGCTTCCTTGCTCTTGCTGTGCGTGCTCTTCACCAGTCCTAGGAGAGTTGCCCAAAACTCCTGAAGTCCCCTTCTCCAAATGTGGGACCCGGGTGTATGCAGGGGTGCGCTTTGCCTGGTACAGACCATTCAGCTGGAGGTCCATCTGGCTGGGTGCTGCTCCAGGCTCCGTGATTCCCAGAATACTGTAAGAATCTCCACCCACTTCTCCCGAGAAGCTAGCGGGTCCCGTTAGGAAGTGGCAATTAAGCCTGCACCCCCATCCCCACCCCCCAGCTCCGACCGAAAGCAAAAGCGGCAACATGGGTCCATGGCCGCTCAGACCAGGCGGCTAAGGAGCTCCGCGCTGCGCTCTGCAGGGAACGGGCCCGCCCCCCTGTGTGCGCAGGCGCGCGCCGCACCGGGCTCCCACGGTCACTTGGCGCGGGCTGCGCTCGCTAGCCTTGCAGGTAAGCACGGGTCGGTGGGCTCGGGCTGGGTGTTCCCGGAACATCACACCCGGGTCCCGGCCGGCCGGCGCGGCGAGTGCTGGTATCCTGTGGGCCCCGCCCCAGGTCCTTTCCCGGCTCCTGCCGCACCGACCGCGGGCTGGGGTGGTGACTCCGCAGACCCAGGGATGGGCGCTGCCTGTGGGGGCTGCGGGATGCCGGGCGAGCGAGCCCACGGGCACTGCTATCTGCATCCAGAGCGGCGGGGAGGACAGAGGTTCGGCCTTGCAAAGAGATGTAATCAATTAAGAGTTTCCATTAATGAGAGGGTGTGGAGGGCGAGTTTGGGGTTTCCATAGGCCATTTGGCAAACTTTCCGCTGTCATTAATTTTCAATATTTTTAACAGAAAATGAGATTTTAAACAAAATTGGCTATAAAGCGAGAAAGAAAAAGCTAAAGAATTCCGCCATTTTGGCGTTTTAAAAAAGTAACCCTTCTGCAGAGCGGATGGATCAGTGACCGCCCCGCCCGCGACTGTCTGCATTAGTTAGTCTAGGGAGGCTGGTGGCGGCTTTGGACACTCCACCCGCTAGCGTCACATTGCAGCTTTGGCGGGAGCGAGCTAGGGGACACCCCCCCCCCCAAGTTTTCTGTGTGCCTCTAGCACTATCTCCCCTCTCTCCAATACTTACCACCAGGGCATTTATTGGGTGTCTACTGTATACAAGGCCTCAAAGGGCTCTGGGTGGAGTGTGTGTGGAAAGCTTGACAGACAGCAAGAGACAGCAGCGTGGACACGTTCAAAAATTGTTTGTTGCTGGGCGGTGGTGGTGCACGCCTTTAATCCCAGCACTCGGGAGGCAGAGCCAGGCAGATCTCTGTGATTTCGAGGCCAGCCTGGTCTACAAAGCGAGATCCAGGAAAGGCACAAAGCTACACAGAGAAACCCTGTCTCAAAAAACCAAAACAAAAAAAAAAAATGTTTATTGAACATCTGATATGTGCAACTACTCTCATTTTAAGTAGGATTCCCTGGAAACACAGATTTCAGTGTAGGTTTATGGGAGTAGCCTTGTGAAGCCAGCAAGATGGAACAGAGATGGTAAAATGCTGGTAGAATCTCAACAGAGGCCTCAGCCTGTGGAGCAGCACGCCCTAACCCTGAGACGACCCTGCAGAGATGCCTTGAATGAAGGTAAAGGGGTGGGGCTTTTATAGGCCTCTGTCATCTGGTCATCTAGAGGGGAGATGATTTGGGGAGAGAACATTTGAATGAGAGTCCCCTGGCCAATCCCGGAGAACCTGAGGCTGGTGGCTGATGGTTATCTCCATTAGTCTCCAGAAGGGGGCCTCCTCTGACTCCCCTCCCCCTCACTGCAGGCTTTCTTCACACTGGCACTGGATCTCTGTTGCCCTCCCAACCTGCAATTGTTTTGGTGCTCCAAGGCTCCACTCTTTTCTCTGCATTCCCTTCTATGTCTTAAATATCATCTGTGTACAACAACTTTCAAGTGTGTCTCCAGCTCCACCCTCCTCCTTTTGTCTTTAAAGTATAAGCCTCATGAGAGCCCTCTGTCTTGGTGGCACCAGTGTCCCCAGAGCATAGAGCAGTGCTGGCACTTCATTGGTTCTCCAGGACTTGCTGAGAGCAGACAGCAAGCCCTGTCGGAAAGGGCATCTTCAGCTGCTTCTCTGAGACACCTGCCACATGGGGCTGGTTTTTGAAAGAGTTCTTTGTTTAAGCAGCCACTCTTCATGATCGTCAGTATCTTAAATAAAAGATTTATTCTATTTAAAATCACTAAAAGTGGTACAAAGGCATGGGTGGAGAGGTGGCTCAGGGTTAGGAGCACCTGTTGCTCTTGCAGAGGACCCAGGTTCAGTTCCCAGCACCCACATAGTGTCTGACAACCATCGGGAGCTCCAGTTTCAGGGGCATCAGAAGCCTTCTGGTCCCAGCAGGTACTGCATGCCCGTGGTGCCCAGTCATACGTTCCAGTAAGAGAACTGTACACATAAAATAAGAGTAAATATTTCTAAGTGGTATAAACACTTAAGCTGTGAAAAGCAAAGTAAATTGGATTGAAATTTGGGGAATTCTGAATTATAAATTCATCTTGTTTGGGTTGAATGCTTCTTTAATTAGGCCACATATCTGACCTTATCTGTTTATACCATGGCTTTATACTTGCAATGATAGACATCTGTAATATATTCCATTTTAGGGAGGAAACTCTTGGAAATAAATGAGCACACAAGAACAGCAAGGGGGTGGAGGGTAGGCACAAGACAGCAGCCATTGCAACCTGATTTTGCAAGTGGGCAGTGTCCATGGTATTGGCTAGAAGCTGGCAACCAACCTGAGTGTCTGTCTAAAGGGAGTGGAGTTCTATTTGTCAAAGACTTGCTGGTTTCTCTACCTCACAGCCAGCATTCACCAGAGCCCCTTCAGGTAGGTGCCATTACCACGTTTATTTTATTTTACAGTTAAGAAAACTGAGGCTGGGGCTGGAGAGATGGCTCAGAGGTTAAGAGCACTAGCTGCTCTTTCAGAGGTCCTGAGTTCAATTCCCAGCAACCACATGGTGGCTCACAATCATCTACAATAAGATCTGGTACCCTCTTCTGGCTTGCAGTCATACATGCAGACAGAACACTATATAATTAATTAATTAATTAATTAATTAATTAATTAATTAATTAATTAAAAAAGCGCCGGGCAGTGGTGGCGCACACCTTTAATCCCAGCACTTGGGAGGCAGAGCCAGTCGAATCTTTGTGAGTTCGAGTCTATCCTGGTCTACAAAGTGAGATCCAGGACAAGCTCCAAAGCTACACAGAGAAACCCTGTCTTGAAAAAAAAAACCCTGGCTCACAACCATCTGTAATGAGATCTAGTGCCCCCTTCTGGCCTGCAGGGATGCACACTGACAGAACATTGTATAATAAATAAATAAATCTTAAAAAATATATATCCCATGTGTTTAAAAAAAAAAAAGGCAAAGAAAAGAAAACTGAGGCCCAGAGTGGGAAAGCTGCTCTCTGGAGTCACAGGTGAAAATGTAGAGAAGCTGAGCATCTAACTCAAGACTCTGTCCTGGACTCAGCCTCATGCTCCTTCCTTCCCATTTAAGCCGTGGCTGCTAAGGGACAGCTGAGTAGCAACCATGCTACAGAGTACTGTTCTCTCTCCTTCCCTCCTCTCCCCTCCTCTTCTCCAGCCCCCAACCTGTCTGCTGGATTTGAACACAGGATTCATGCATGCTAGTCAAGTGCTTTGCCAATAAGCTTATACCTCTAGCTTCTGGACCTTGCACTGACTGGGTTTTCATATTGCTACACTTTTGCTATTCAGGTACATGCATTTGTTCAAGAGAGGCTTCCACCGAGGCATTACACCCCTCTTTCAACTAATCATTCGTGGCTGCGTCTGGGTTTGGTGGGAGTAGTGCACAGGGAAACACGAACGAACAAGATCAGGAAAGATGCCACCTTCCACAAGGACCGACCTTGTTTGGATAGAGGAGAATGTGGTACCTGAAGACTCTTGAGTCCTCAAAGAAAGGGAACGGAAGTGGGGAATCAAGAAAGAGATGATTTGGACTTAGCCTGGGCTTTGTCACTGGCCAAAACAACCTTGGCCTGAATCACACTTCCTATGAGCCATTTCTACACAGTGTGTATGGTATCCTCACACATGCCATTTATGCCACAAATAATGGGCAGGGGAAGATGCAGGGCCTGGCCAGAGTTCTGTATAACCTGGGTGAAGGCCAGGAGTCAGACCTGATGCTGGTGTCCTAGGACATTCTACTCCTCTCAGAGATGAGACCTTTCTCTGCATGTTGCTGATGTGAAAGTGACCAGTTTCTCCTCCAAAAAGCCCTTCCCTCCCCATCCTCATCATCCTGGTGGCTGTGTTTGATTTGTAGACTCTTCTGGATGGAGGGGCACACGGAAATGGAGATACTAAGGACACTGAAGGGATCTTCCACAGGGGAGGTCAGTGTGCACCTGGTGGCCAGAGACAGCGCAGGTTCCCGTCCTCCCCTGCCTGCAACTGCCTTTGTTATTCCTAGTAAGTCAAGGTCAGAGGTCTGGAGGTCACATGCTTGCTCAAGAGGGTGTGGATCGAGGGCAGATGAGGATGACAATTTTCCATCTTTTTATTATTGTGCTTTGTTCTGTTTTGTTCTGTTTGCGACAAGGTTTCTCTATGTAGCCCTGGCTGTCCTGGAACTCTCTCTGTAGACCAGGCTGGCCTCGAACTCAGTGATCTGCCTCCTCTGCCTCCTGAGTGCAGGGATTAAAGGCATGTGCCACTAGGCTCTGCTTCTCACCTGCACGGGTCACCAGGCTCATCTGTGCCCTGTCTTATCTGTGTATCTGTTTCTAGCCAATGCAGCTACCCTTGGTCTGCCCAGCACAGCCCTGGATGTGTCCTATCCCAGGGAGCCAGTCCATGTGGGCACCCTGGAGCGGGTGACCAGCACCAGCGAACCAGTTACTGCCACCATTCTGCCACAGCTAAGCACCGGGCCGGGGACCAATAGCACAGTCAGGCTTCTGGATTGGACAGGGGTTTCCACACCTTCAGCCGGGAGTGGCCTACGGGTTAGTGCCCAAGAGGATTGGCAGCTGTGGGGCGGGGCATGTGGGCTTGAAGGCGGGGCTTGAGGCGGAAAGGCTGAGGATGGTGGGCGTGGTTTAGAGTGACTCATCCTGGGACTGGCTCCGTAGGTGGAGGCGTGGTTGGGGAGGAGTGGGCGGAGTCTATAGACCTGAAGTGTAGCTGGCAGAGCAAAATAAAGTGTGGGTGACCCAAGGTGGGTAGAGAGCTAGTGCAGAAGTCACAGTCCTCAGAATTTTCTGCATCCCTAGTTCCGGATAAGCGAGTACGCGCCACTGAATATGATGGGAATAGAACGACCACCATGCCCGGAACGACAGCAAGAAGGGCTGGTCCGACATGAAGGTGGCCCTACTGGAGGCGATACGGACACCCAGCACCCTGGTAGGATCCTGCTCCCCGGGGCAATGCGTGGGTGGGTGAGGCTCGAGCTTCCTGAGGACTCTTGGATGGGAATGTAACCAGAGGCAGTCCTAAGCGGAGAAGGCTTGAAGGATGCTGGCCAGTAGGAGATGGGCTGTAGGGATGTGGGCGGAGCCTGGATGTGGTTGTCCAGGGATGGGAAGACTAAGGCCCAGTGGGCTCCCACAGAAGATGTCCACCGGAACCCTCAAGAAGTCACCTCTCAGGAACCCCCAAAGGACGCGAGCTCCTGCGAGTGCCAGACTTGTGGGCCTCAACAAGGCACTGCCCCAGACCTGGGTTCTTCAGGCGACCACTGCCCTCCGCCTTTTCAGAAGCGGTAAGATCGACAGGTTACAGCCTTTCTCACCAGGTTTTGAGCCCCTAAGGTCCCTTTCCAGCTCTGTGCTTAGGAAAATGTGGATACACTATATACTATAAACTGTATAGGTTTTTTTGGGATTTTTTTTATTGTTGTTTTGTTTTTCTCAAATGAGACCGTTCCTTTTGTAGGTCAGTCATAGTAGAGAACTCAGGCTGTACCATCGCTTCTGAGCTCCTAAAACCCATGAAGAAGAGGAAACATAGGGAGTACCAGAGCCCATCAGAGGAGTCGGAGCCAGAGGCCATGGTAAAAAGAGGGGCTCAGGGGGAGAAATGTGAAGGTGGAGCCTCAGTTTTGTAGTCTTGTCAATCGAAGATGGGGGTTGGCGCTCCTGTTGTGACCTACTCCCATATTTTCTAGTTCCATTTTGAATCAGGTATTAGACCTAATTAAAGGATGGAAGAAAGGAGGAAGGGAGGGAAGGGAGGAAGGGAGGAAGGGAGGAAGGAAGGAAGGAAGGAAGGAAGGAAGGAAGGAAGGAAGGAAGGAAGGAAGGAAGGAATCAGTTAGTATATAGCCCAGGCTGGATTTGAACTTACTCAGTAGATGTGACTGGCCTTAACCCCTATCTTTCTGCCTCTACCTCCTGACCACACCTCCTACAAATCACTCTCCTAGTTTTCTGTGGCTCCCATCCTGGCCTGGTGTCAGGGTTACAGCACACACAAGGGAACTGGCAGATGTGTGGCCGTGGAAAAAGAAAGCTCTGGAGTCTAGTACTAAAATGAGAGGTCAAGAAACACAGGGCTGAAGCTGTAGATCAGGAAGGTTCTCTCAGGCAGGTAAAATCAGCACAGAGCAGATGTTCACATACTCAGTTTCCCCATCTGGGAATGAGAGTTGTAGTCAGGCTGTGTGACAAGGGTACGTGTACTCACGAATCTATACCTCCCCCAATGGTACAGACCCAAACAATGACTGGCTGCAAGAGCAGAGATCTTGTAGTACCCTAGAGGAAACTCTTCCAATTTCGGGCATAACATTGGACCAGATAGCCAGGCAGGGGCCAGGGACCAGAGGCTGAACTTACATCCCAACCCATGAGGACAGGAAGCTGGAGTCAGGCTTTCTTTCTGCAGAAGCAAGGAGAAGGAAAAGATCCAGAGGGACAGCCTACTGCCAACACCCCAGAGAGTGAAGATTGGAGCAGGAGCCAGCTGGGTATGGTGGCCTGTGTGTATTTATTTATGTCAAGTGTTTATATACTTTTAGGGGTGTGGGACTGAAGTGTGGGTCATGGTTGTGGTTGTATATGGTACATGTGAGCACAGGCTAGTGGATGTGAAAGAGACCGAGTGAGACCGCTTGTGGTTTGTGCATGACTATATGTTTATTCTTGGGGTTGTTTATCTTGCATTATTCAGCTGTGAGGAGGCCCTACTGGGAAGTCTGGGCTTGGTTTCTGAAGACTTGAGGAGCGTGTAGTATTACTTCCCCTTGGTGGTATTGGTAAGCCCACACTGTTCGTTAGCCTGGCCTTCCTTTTGGGGCCCCTTTCCTGATCTTCTGGTTCTAAGAAAGAGGTCCTTCATAGCTAGCTTTAGCCCTCAGGCCTGCTGTTAGTATTTCTATAGTCCCAGGTGACAGCTGTCAGGTGGATCTAAGCAGAGCTTATCATACTGGTAATCATCTATGTAGCAATTTTATGTCTTCCTCCCCAAACACTTAAATTTATCAACACAGGGCCTGAATTTATTTATCTGTTTATTTATAGTTTTATTACATTTATCTATTGGGGGGAGGCACATATGCCTCGGAGCCTATTGGAGGTCAGGTGACAATTTTCCAGAGTCAGTTCTCTCCTTCCACCACATGGGTCTTGGGGATCAATGATTGGTCGTCAGGCTTGGCAGCAAGTGCTTTTACACACTGAGCCATCTTGCCAGCCCGAGACTAAGGTTATTAATCGCTGTGTCTTGGCCGTTTAGCCGAGAGCCTGGTATAGAGTGGGTTCTCAAAGAATGCCTGTTCGGTGGGTGAACTGTGCCCACCAGTGGTCATCCCCACAAACCACCTTTACCCCCCAAATAACCAACAGTTTGCCTTCTGCATTTAGATTTGCCTGTTTGGGCCATTTCATTCAAATGGCATCATGCATGTTGTCCTGTGTGGCTGACTTCATTCACTTTAGCATGGTGGTATCAAGGTCTAGCCATATTTTAGTATCCGTGGGGACTTTTTTCCCTTTTGTTGAATGACATCCATGCTGTGGTTATCCATCAATTGATGGGCAGATTGCTTCTATTTTGGACTGTTATGTTCTCTTATCTGAATTATTGTACACAGTTTTGTGTAGATTTATGCTTCATTTCTATTGGGCATATACCTAGGAGTGATTTTTTCTTTCACATAATAATTCTGTGTTTATCATTTGGATACATTACTAGGCTGTTTTCCAAAGTGGCTATACTGTTGTCTTACATCCCCGACAGAATGTGCAGGATTCTAGCTTATCCCTGTCCTCAACACTTAGTGACATCTCTTTGTTTTTCCCATCTTAGCCATCCTGTGGGGGTGGCGTGCTATATCCCTGTTGTTTGGATTTGTGTTTTCCTAATGACTAGTAAGTGATATGTTGGACATCTTTTTTATGAATTTATTGGCCATTTATGTATTTTCTTTGGAGAAACTCAGACCCTTGCTTATTTTTAAATTGGATGTAAGCAGCTGACTCTATGTTAAAATGCTATAGTGACATACGGAATTGGGAGGGGCCTGAGATATGAGTGTAGTTCAGTATAGACACCAGTCAGGAATCAACTACAGGGACTCCCTTGCTTCTCACTTGCTTTCTCTTCCTCTCTTCCTCTTCCTCCCCAACCCCTTTCTTTTAGAATTCCTTTTGGCTTTTTTTTTTTTTTTAACAGAGCTGAGGACCGAACCCAGGGCCTCGCGCTTGCTAGGCAAGTGCTCTACCACTGAGCTAAATCCCCAACCCCTCCTTTTGGCTTTTTAGGATGATTTTCTGTTTTGTTTTGAAACAGGGTCTCACTGTGTAGCTCTGGCTGGCCTGGAACTTGCTACATAGACCAGACTGGCCTCAAATTAAGAGATCCATCTGCCTCTGTTTCCCTGGTACTGGGATTAAAGATGTGTGCCACCTCTCCTGGGCTTTTTTTTGTTTGTTTGTTTTTTGTTTTTTTGTTTTTTTTTTGATTCAGAGTCTCACTATACAACCTGGGTTGGCCTCAAAGGAATGATTCTCCTGCCTCAGCCAAGTGCTGAGATTATAAGGCATGTACCATCCCATCTGGTTTAGTGAGGTATTTTTGGTTTTTGAGACAAGGTCTTAATCTTTGGCTCCATCTAGACTCCAATTTACAGTCTTCTTGCCTCTGCTTTGCAGATCCTGAGTTACAGGCATGAGCCACCTCACCCAGCTTAGAAATGCGTTCTGATTCTTGTTTGTTTGTTTGTTTGTTTGTTTGTTTGTTTGTTTGTTTGAGACATCTTCTCATTTGATAAGCCCAGGCTGGCCTGGGACTCACCGTGCATCTCAGGCTGACATTGCCTCTGCCTCTATAGAGCTGATGTTACAGGCATCTGCCACCACGCTCGGCTATGGAAACACTTTTTTGACTGAAGTTCCTAATCCAAATATCCACGCAAAATTCTACAAACCCTTAACTTTGAGGGAGAAGATGATCCCTGCCTTTCGTTAGCTTTTCAGAATAGTTCCCCAATGGCAGCATGGTCATGAGGGCAATGCCCTCATGGCCTAGGCATCTCTCCCCACTCCACCTGTCTTTTAGACAGGATCTCACTATGTATCCTTAGATGGTTCATGAATGTTGGCATCCTGTTTGCTACATTTTCTCCCTCTATCTCTAGATACTGTCCACTGTGTATGGAGCTGAGCATTCAGAGTGAGCTAAACACTAGGACTCACCTAAGGAGCTCACGGTTGCAGAGATGGATATGTAGACAAGTAGCTATCATATAACAGTATGATGTATTATATGTCACATAATGGTATGTTATATATCATATAACAGTATGACAGGTATCATGTGTGAAATATGTAAACACAAAGCTGTTTCACAGGAAAACTGCCACATGCAGTCAGCCATTTCATGACTCGGTACATCCGTCTTTTCTCTAGTCATATAATGAACACTTGTTGAACATCTGCTCCTTGTGAAGCCCTAGCTAGATGATGTAGCTGGGTCTGGGTCTTAGAGGGTGAGGAAAAGATAGGAGGATAGAAGAAAACTGTGGAGCAGGATACCCGAGCTAGAGGGCTGTGCCTGTGCAAAGCCACAGATACAGAGGTGGAGAGGCTCATGGTGAAGCGTGAGCAGGAAGGAGTGGCTAGCTCACAGAGGGCTTTGCTGGGTTTGTGTGTGGTATTGTTCTTTGGTTGGAAATGAGAAGATACTGTAGGACTTTAAAAAAAAAAAACTCTTTACTTCAGAGATGTTTTGGAAGTGTAATAAGTTTGGAACAGAAAGATCAAGAAGGGGGATCTTGGACTGTTCAGAGCAAGGACTAAATGAGGAGAGGTGGAGAGAGACTCAACAGACACAGGAGTTGGAATCAGCAGGACTGGAGGATTCTGGGGAGTAGAGAGGCACACAGGTCAGTGCCAGGTCCCTGGCTAGATGACTGGATGGAGGTGCCACTGTCTGGGATACACAGCACCAAAAGGGCCACAAGCTTTGGTGTCGTGGTTTCCAGGTTGGTTTTGACCAGGCTGAGCTTGCCAAGGGCATCTGAGGAAGCAGGAACAAGCAAAGGAGCACTTCTGGAAGCTAGAGGGAATCCGTTTTACAGCTGGCCTCTATGACGCCTTCACACAAATCATGTAAAGATGCCTCTTATTTGCAGACCAGTCAGTAGAAGGCTCCTTCTTCACTGTAGACAGTTGTAGTTGGACTTTCTGGTCGGACTTTCTTTTGGGACCGCCAGCCCCCAAATAATGACACAAAGTCTTATTAATTATGAAAGTTTGGCCTTAACTTAGACTTGTTCCCAGCTTGCTCTCATAACTTAAATTAACCAGTTTCTATTAATCTACATTTTGCCACATGGCTTTCTACCTCTCCTCTATTCTGTATGTCTGACTCCCTCTGTGTCTCACTGGCATCTCTCATGTGCCTAGATTCATCCCTTCAGTTTCTCTCTCTGCCCACAAGTCCAGCCTAACTTCTTCTGCTTAGTTATTGGCCATTCAGCTTTTTATTAAACCAATCACAACAACACATCTTCACACACTGTACAAATATCCCACAACATTTCCCCCCATTTGTCTAAATAAAAAGGAAAGATTTTAACTCTGACATAGTAAAATTATATACAATAAGAACAATTATCAGGTAAGAATTACATTTACAATACTCAGTCCATTCGTATTTGGCAATTCAGAGAAATTGCTCTGTTATCTATCTCTCTTGATAAGTCCAAAGTTTTATATATAACCGCTTTCTATTATAACTTGTATTACCAATCTAAAAGTATCTTTTTAGACCTAAAAACATTTTCTTAGATGGATGACTTAAGCTTTTATGTCTCTCAACCTTATAAACTTTATATCTCTTTTGTAAGTTTCTTTTTTGAATTTGGTAACAAGGAAAACAGTATAACTATCTAGTCTTCAACCCCATCAAACACTTGAGAAGGGTATAATGTTACCTGACTAAACAGGAAGTACAGAGAAAACAACTTCCAAAACTATAGAAATGACAGAAACAGCTGGCTGCCTAGATAGTCACCCAAGATTCCTCTGCAACGTTGGGGCATCTATCTTGGGCCTA